GTCGGGTCGTGCTGGGGTGTGGTCGTGCTGGGGTATGGTCGTGCTGGGGTGGGGTCGTGCTGGGGTGGGGTCGTGCTGGGGTCTGGTCGTGCTGGGGTGTGGTCGTGCTGGGGTATGGTCGTGCTAGGGTGGGGTCGTGCATTTCGCTCGAGACATCCTGCCAAAATTCCAGGAAATCGTACAAAAACAAACAAATTAGTCGAAACATCATCGAAATTCCTTCGCGCGGGGCGCTTTTCCGCGTCGCGGTCGGCTCTGCAAAACAAGCGTTTCGCTCGAGACATCCTCGGCAAACTCTGCGGAGCAAGCGTTTCGCTCGAGACATCCTCAACACACGAAAAAGTTTATCGATCGGGATTTCAAAAACAAGCGTTTCGCTCGAGACATCCTCAAATTTTAATTCGCCGGCCTCCTTCGACCTCGTTATTTATCAGGGAAAAAATTCGCCGGCCTCCCTCAAGTTGGCACCGGGGGACAGGTTTACCTACTAAAAGAGAACCCTGGGCCTATGCCCTTTCCGGGAACAAACGAATTAGTCGAGACATCATCGAAATTCCTTCGCGCGGGGCGCTTTTCCGCGTCGCGGTCGGCTCTGCAAAACCAGCGTTTCGCTTGAGACATCCTCAGCAAATTCTGAAAACAAGCGTTTCGCTCGAGACATCCTCAACTCTGCAAAACCAGCGTTTCGCTCGAGACATCCTCAAGAAATTCTGAAAAACAAGCGTTTCGCTCGAGACATCCTCAAATTTTAATTCGCCGGCCTCTTTCGACCTCGTTATTTATCAGGGAAAAAATTCGCCGGCCTCCCTCAAGTTGGCACCGGGGGACAGGTTTACCAACTAAAAGAGAACCCTGGGCTCTTGCCCTTTCCGGGAAAAAATCATTGATACCTCATGCGCTCAAACCCGATTGCAGCAAGTTCGGATTCGATTTATGCAGCAATGACAAACGACCTCATGCGACAACAAAGCACGCCGTGATCATTAGTGTCGTTTGGTTTCGAATGCCCTGTCCCTGGTCAAATCATACCTAAGTGGTACACCTTCCCGCCTGTCGCAACAGCGCGAATACCCAGCGATTACGTTGGAGAGGTTCCAAAGCCAACAGACAACGAAACCGACTCTCTTTTGCAGATCATCGACTTGCCGCGAGGTCACCCAAGCACCATCGACAGCTTGCCGCAGGATCCATCGACCCAGGAGGACAATAACGCTGCGGCCGCTGTCGGCCCCACGTGCGAAAGGGCTGTCAAAATCTGAGCCTCGCCAAAGGCTCTGCTGGCCCTTGGCTCTGCGCGCTCAGTACCGGTAGGTGTCGGGCTTGAAGGGGCCAGTGACCTTCACACCGATGTAATCGGCCTGCTCTTTCGTGAGGGTCGTGAGCTCGGCACCGAGTGCCGGCAGGTGCAGGGCTGCAACCTTCTCGTCGAGGTCTTTCGGGAGGAGGTACACGTTGTTCTTGTAGCCCTTCTCCTTCGCCGTGAGCAGGTCGATCTGCGCGAGGACCTGGTTCGTGAACGAGCAGGACATCACGAAGGACGGGTGTCCGGTGGCGCAGCCGAGATTGAGCAGTCGCCCAGCCGCCAGGACGATGATGCCGTGCCCGTCTGGGAAGACGTAGCGGTCCACCTGCGGCTTGATGTTCTCCACCTTGATGCCAGCAAACTTTTCCAGATTCTCCATCTCGATCTCGTTATCAAAGTGGCCGATGTTGCCAACAATGGCGTTGTTCTTCATCTTCTTCATGTGCTCCAGCGTGATGATCTTGAAGTTTCCGGTGGTGGTCGTGAAGATGTCGATCTCGCCGACAACGCTCTCCATCGTAACCACCTGGAAGCCCTCCATGCATGCCTGTAGCGCACAGATGGGGTCACACTCAGTGATCAGCACCCTAGCACCAGCACCGCGCATGGCGAACGCGCAACCCTTGCCCACATCACCATAACCACAAATCAGCGCACGCTTGCCCCCGATCATGACGTCTGTGGCGCGCATGATGCCATCTGGCAGCGAATGCCTGCACCCGTAGACATTGTCAAACTTAGACTTTGTCACGCAGTCGTTCACATTGATGGCTGGGAACAGGAGCTCGCCCTTCGCAGCCATCTCCTTCAGCCGGTGAACGCCAGTCGTGGTTTCCTCGCTGACACCCTTACACTTGGCAGCCATGCGGGTGTATTTCGTCTTGTCAGCCGGGATCGAATCCTTCAGGAGCTGCAGGATGCACTTGAACTCAGCGTTGTCCGTCGACGCAGGATCAGGAAGAGATCCGTCCTTGGCGAACTTCTCCTCGAACTCCTTGCCCTTGTGGATCAGGAGGGTGGCGTCGCCGCCGTCGTCGACGAGCTGGTCGCAGCCGTCCGCGCCGGGCACGGTCATCATCTGCTCGGTGCACCACCAGTACTCCTGGAGCGTCTCTCCCTTCCAAGCGAAGACGGTGGAAGTCTCGGCCTTTGCGATCGCTGCGGCAGCGTGGTCCTGGGTGCTGAAGATGTTGCAGGAGCACCAGCGCACCTTGGCTCCCAGGGCATGCAGCGTCTCGATCAAGACGCCGGTCTGAATGGTCATGTGGAGGGAGCCATTGATGTTCATGCCCTTGAAGGGCTGCTTCGGGCCGAACTCCTTGCGGGCCGCCATGAGGCCTGGCATCTCGTGCTCTGCCAGGGTGAGCTCCTTGCGGCCGAACTCGGCAAGGCCCATGTCCTTCACCTTGGATTCCGCCATGGTTCTCAAGCGAAACGGCAAACGGCTTCTTGAGGGAGACCGCTGGTGTCGGGGAGATGGGGGGCTTGGCTTCTTGAGCCAAAGCGGCTGCGTTTTCCCGCTGAAAAAGTTGTTCCCCACGTGTTTAATGGGGTTATGGTTTTCTTCCTTCCCGCGTCGCACCCGCGTCTCCTCCTCACCCTTTCCTCTTCCTTCTCCTTCCTACGCAGCACAGCACAGCACACCGCAGCGCAGCACAGCACAGCACAGTTCAACACAGCACAGCACAACACAACGCAATTCTGGTTTTCATCCCTGCCGCGTCGCACCCGCGTTTCACGCCCACACACACACGCACACACCTCCCCTTCCTGCTCCTTCTCGAACAGCACACCGCAGCACAGCGCAGCTCAGCACAGCACAATACAACTCAGCAAAGAACAGCACACAGCACATTGACACACAGCACTTACACAGCACAGCACAGCACAGCACAGCACTGCCCAACACAGCTCCGCTCAGCTCAGCACAGCACAGCACAACTCATCTCAGCACAGCTCACCCGCGAAGCTCACTCACCTCCCTTGCGGGCTCGCAAAGCATGGCAGGCGTGGCAGATTCTCGACACGATAAAAGGGGTGCGCAGGGGGTGGTCTCTCAACGCGGCCGCTATCCGTGACGGTCGTCCATGGCACAGGAGGCATGGCAGATTCTCGGCACCGTAACAGGTGCGCAAGGGGTAGTCTCTCACCGAGGCCGTTATCCGTGAAGGTCGTCCATGGCACAGCAGGCATGGCAGATTCTCGACACCAAAGCGGGTGCGCACGGGGTGGTCTACCACCGCGGCCGCTACCCGTGACGGTCGTCCAAGGCACAGCACGAATGGCAGGTTATCGACACCATAAGGGGTGCGCAAAGGGGTGGTCTCTCACCGCGGCCGTTATCTGGTCGCCCATGGAAAAGCCATGGCATTTGCTCGACACCATAGGGGGTGCGCAAAGGGGTGGTCTCTCACCGCGGCCGCTATCAGTGACGGTCGTCCATGGCACAGCAGGCATGGCAAATTCTCGACACCACAGGGGGTGCGCAGGGGGTGGTCTCTCAGGGCTGCCGCTATCCGTGACGGTCGTGCATGGCACAGCAGGCATGGCATACTCTCGACACCACAAGGGGGTGCGCCACCGCAGCCGCTATCCGTGACGGTCGCCCAAAGCACAGCAACCATGGCAGATTCTCGAAACCATAGGGGGTGCGCAGGGTGTGGTCTCTCACCAGTGCCGCTATCCGTGACGGTTGCCCAGGGCACAGCCGGCATGGCATATTCTCGACACCGTAACAGGTGCGCAGGGGATGGTCTCTCACCGCGGCCGCTATCCGTGACGGTCGTCCAGGGCACAGCCGGCATGGCAAATCATCGACACCATAGGGGGTGCGCAAGAGGTGGTCCCCCACCGCGGCCGCTATCCGTGACGGTCGTCCATGGCACGGCAGGCACGGCATAATCTTGACACCATAGGGGTGGTCTCTCACCGCGGCCGCTATCCGTGACGGTCGTCCATGGCACAGCAAGCATGGCATACTCTCGACACCACAACGGGTGCGCAGGGATGGTCTCTCACCGCTCTCGCTATCCGTGACGGTGGTCCATGGCACAGCAGGCATGGCAGATTCTCGACACCACAGGGGGTGCGCAAGGGGTGGTCTCTCACAGCTCTCGCTATCCGTGACGGTCGTCCATGGCACAGGAAGAATGGCATATTCTCGGCACCATGATGAGGTGCGCAAGGGGTGGTCTCTCACCGCTATCCGTGACGGTCGTCCATGGCAGAGCCGTCATTGCATGTTGTCGACACCATAGGGAATGCGCAGGGGGTGGCCTCCCACCGCGGCCGCTATCCGTGACGGTGGTCCATGGCTCAACAAGCATGGCAGATTCTCGACACCATAAGGGGTGCGCAGGCGGTGGTTTCTCACCGCGGCCGCTATCCGTGACGGCCGTCCATGGCACACCAGGCATGGCAAATCCTCGACACCATAAGGGGTGCGCAGGCGGTGGTTTCTCACCGCGGCCGCTATCCGTGAAAGTCGCCCATGGCACAGCAGTCACGGCGTATTCTCGGCACCATTAGAGGTGCGCATGGGGTTTTTCACCGCGACCGCCATCCGTGACGGCCGTCCATGGCACAGCAGACATGGCAAATTATCGACACCATAACGGGGTGCGCAAGGGGTGGTCTCTCACCGCGGCCGCTATCCGTGACGGCCGTCCGGGGCACAGCAGGCATGGCATATTCTCAACACCATAGGGGGTGCGCAGGGGGTGGCCTCTCACCGCTGCCGCTATCCGTGACGGTCGTCCAGGGAACAGCAGGCATGGCAGATGATCGACACCATAAGGGGGTGTGCAAAGGGTGGCCTCTCACCAGGGCCGCTATCCGTGAACGCCGTCCATGGCTAGGCAAGAATGGCAGACTCTCGACACAATGGGAAGTGCGCAGGTGGTGGTCTCTCACCGCGGCCGCTATCCGTGACGGTCGTCCGGGGCACAACGGTATCGGCGGGGCAACGGCCACCAGCATCAGCATCACATGCTTCACTTCAGCTACCATCACTCCAGCCATAACATGAGTATGTGGGGGTCCTCGGTAGCGTAATCATGTATCGATGTGGTAGACTCGCGCCTACTCCACACTGACAGACTCGGTGATACTGCGACTACTCAAGCTTGCAAAACCAATACGACAAAGTCCAACGAACACGTACACGAATTGACCAACGACCAAGACCCTTCACAACAAATACTCTGCGCTTTGAGCTGTCAGGACACGAGGAACTGCAACCTCACACCGAACGACTGCAACCTTGCACCCAACTTCAACAAGCTACGAGTATTGCGATCGTCATCTACAACGTCGGACGCGTTGCAGCCGACTCCGACCAACATCCAAATGATAGCCAAGATCATTCACAAATAGCCAAGTCCCCCAGATGCAGCAGCCGCCAACCGTTATCCAAAACATGATGGACCCACGAACCCGGAAAGGGATATAGACATGTGGAGCATGGGCACGTTTTCACGATACCCAACGGGGCAACACCTCACGAAACATCCCACGAGACACCTCACGAAACATCCCACGAGACACCTCACGAAACATTCCGCGAGACACCTCACGAAACATTCCAGGAGACACCCCGCGAAACATTCCACGAGACACCCCACGAAACATTCCACGACGACAGGCAACCACTCAACCAAGGCGGTGTGGTCGTGCTGGGGAGTGGTCGTGCTGGGGTGTGGTCGTGCTGGGGGGTGGTCGTGCTGGGGGGTGGTCGTGCTGGGGGGGTGGTCGTGCGTGCTGGGGCGTGGTCGTGCTGGGGCGTGGTCGTGCTGGGGCGTGGTCGTGCTGGGGTGTGGTCGTGCTGTGGTGAGGTCGTGCTGGGGTGTGGTCGTGCTGGGGTGTGGTCTTGCTAGGGTGGGGTCGTGCTGGGGTGGGGTCGTGCTGGGGTGGGGTCGTGCTGGGGTGTGGTCGTGCTGGGGTGTGGTCGTGCTGGGGTGTGGTCGTGCTGGGGTGTGGTCGTGCTGGGGTGTGGTCGTGCTGGGGTGTGGTCGTGTCGTGCTGGGGGTGGTCGTGCTGGGGGCGTGGTCGTGCTGGGGCGTGGTCGTGCTGGGGCGTGGTCGTGCTGGGGTGTGGTCGTGCTGTGGTGAGGTCGTGCTGGGGTGTGGTCGTGCTGGGGTGTGGTCTTGCTGGGGTAGGGTCGTGCTGGGGTCGGGTCGTGCTGGGGTGTGGTCGTGCTGGGGTATGGTCCGTGCTGGGGCGTGCTGGGGTCGGTCGTGCTGGGGTGTGGTCGTGCTGGGGTATGGTTCGTGCTGGGGTATGGGGGTCGTGGGGTTGGTAGTGCTGGGAGCGTGGGGTGGGGTCGTGCTGGGGAATGGTGGTCGTGCTGGGGTGTGGTCGTGCTGGGGTGTGGTCGGTGTGGTCGTGTGGGGTGTGGTCGTGCTGGGGGGTGGTCGTGCTGGGGCGTGGTCGTGCTGGGGCGTGGTCGTGCTGGGGCGTGGTCGTGCTGGGGCGTGGTCGTGCTGTGGTGAGGTCGTGCTGGGGTGTGGTCGTGCTGGGGTGTGGTCTTGCTGGGGTAGGGTCGTGCTGGGGTCGGGTCGTGCTGGGGTGTGGTCGTGCTGGGGTATGGTCGTGCTGGGGTGGGGTCGTGCTGGGGTGGGGTCGTGCTGGGGTCTGGTCGTGCTGGGGTGTGGTCGTGCTGGGGTATGGTCGTGCTAGGGTGGGGTCGTGCATTTCGCTCGAGACATCCTGCCAAAATTCCAGGAAATCGTACAAAAACAAACGAATTAGTCGAGACATCATCGAAATTCCTTCGCGCGGGGCGCTTTTCCGCGTCGCGGTCGGCTCTGCAAAACAAGCGTTTCGCTCGAGACATCCTCGGCAAACTCTGCGGAGCAAGCGTTTCGCTCGAGACATCCTCAACACACGAAAAAGTGGCCCGCACCCTGTGATTTATCGATCGGGATTTCAAAAACAAGCGTTTCGCTCGAGACATCCTCAAATTTTAATTCGCCGGCCTCCTTCGACCTCGATATTTATCAGGGAAAAAATTCGCCGGCCTCCTTCAAGTTGGCACCGGGGGACAGGTTTACCTACTAAAAGAGAACCCTGGGCCCCCGCCCTTTCCGGGAAAATCCCACCAGCCCTCTGGGCGAAGGTGCTATAAACAATCGTTTCCATCCCAATTCCAAAAACCCTCATTCCCGTGGTCGGTGGAGGGTTTGATCAATGTTCCTTATTGATATGCATCCCCTCCCCAACCCGGCCCGTAACAAGCCCTGGACAATGCAAACACGGCCCGACCATCCCTTGCAAAACATGATCGGCCCACGAACCCGGAAAGGGATATAGAACTGTGAAGCATGGCAACGTTTTCAAAACACCTGATTGGGCGACTGGCAATTGCAATGCTGAACGTATCGATCTTGACGTACCGTGCCGACGGCTGTGCTGTTCTGGGCCGTGCTGAACTGCGATGTGCCATGCCGCGGTTGTGCTCCATAGCGTTGTGGATCGAGTCCTCCTTGGCATTCGAGTCCTGACCGAACTGATCTGGATCTTAAGCTCGAGCTACCTGAG